GGCGGGGCAGTTTACACACACGCGGCTGCTACATGCAGCAACACACACACACACACTGCGGAGATGGCGGAGAGAACGCTCTCCGAGGTGGTTAAACTTTACCCGTCTCGATGCTCGTTACCAAAAGCGCAATAAGAGTTTAGCATGTAAGGGCGGTAACACGAGGAATTTGTCTAAACATTTATCAAAAGTGCTCCACATCCAGACGGAGGAATGCACCGGGTTCCACTGTCTTTCTAGCAGCTCTGTAGCCCCGCCCCCATCCACGAGTAACGTTTCCACGTCAGGTGTTATGTATGCTAGCAGCAACACACGGAGTTAACTACATTACACAAGCATGGGTTAATGATTAGAGGAAACCGAGTTATTTATTTTGTTAAAGTTTCAGCTATTCTGTCATCACATTATTTAATACGGTTTGTTAAAACACTGTTGTTTCTTTTGATGTGAAATATTATTTATTTAATTTAAATAAAAAGCAATGTTAGTTTTGTTCACAATTTATTTAGTTAATTTATTAAAAAAAAATCTCCAAAAGAACCGATAAGAGTACCGTTAAAAGACCGGATCGATAAGCGGTATCGATAAAAGTAGTAGTACCGTTAAAACCTTAACGATACCCATCCCTACATTTGGGTCTTATTATAGGTCTTATTATACATGTTCGTGCCACTAATGGAATAACAAAAGTATCTCTAAAAATATGAAATTACATTTTTAACAAAAGCTAAGCGGCTGAGATGGGTTTTCTCCGCAGGGTGGCTGGCGTCTCCCTTAGGGATAAGGTGAGAAGTTCAGTCATCCGGGAGGGACTCGGAGTTGAGCCGCTCCTCCTTCGCGTCTCCTTGAGGTGGTTCGGGCACCTAGTTAGGATGCCACCTGGGCGCCTCCCTAGGGAGGTGTTCCAGGCACGTCCAGCTGGGAAGAGACCAAGGGGTAGACCTAGGACCAGGTGGAGGGATTATATCTCTTCGCTGGCCTGGGAGCGCCTTGGGACCCCCCAGTCAGAGCTGGTTGATGTCGCCAGGGAAAGGAACGTTTGGGGCTCTCTGCTGGAACTGCTACCCCCGCGACTCGACCACGGATAAGCGGGAGAGGATGGATGGATGGATGGACAAAAGCTAACATTGCTTTTGAGCTAACATAACAACAACGTGGAAAGAAAACATGTTTTTTCCAAATATTGCGTGTGTTTTTAGCTGAAGAATACATATATGTATATTTTTTAAAGGCTAACATTGATGTCTAACAACAGAAACATAAATTGTATATGTTGTTTAGCATAAGACTGTATTTCTCTAAATACTTGTCCAGTTAACGTGCTAAGAGAATTGATTTGCATACGATTAAATTCCCCATTCAAATTGAGGATGATTTTAATTTGAAGGGTGATGATGATATAAAATATGACGGCAGACAATCAAAGCCTCTTCGTAAAACTCCTATAGAGGACTTAATAGTAAAAACGGCATATTTTAAAATGCAACATTGTTCCATTTCATCTGCTGTGGTGGGCTCTCTGTCCACAGGAAGACACAAATTAAATTGTATAAAACATAATCTTCCTCTCCACTGATTGACAGCGCTCCTCTCTCTTGCCTTTGGTTTCGTACGAAGCGTAAGAGACAAGCTTGAAGGTAAACACTCTGGCATGTTGCGTGATTTCTGGGGTCATACACCTCACTCTGCCGTGTAGAGCTGTCAACTTCCTTTGTGCATACATGCATTTTAATTACTTTGAAGCTCAATGTAAAGGACATATCATAACCCTCTAATATGCATACTCCTTGATAATGCATTCATTAGTAGCACACCGTGTATTCCTGGGTTACACTTCTTCTCTAAAGTACCGTGTTTCCACCGTTCTCAGTGTGGGCTCACCAGTAAAAAGTCTATTTCCGTCCCCCCTTCATCTGCTAGATGTTGCTGGCACAGCATTGTCTCTTGGTACTTCCAATTTCTGTATCTTCTCAACTTTGAAGCGGCAAGGTTCCTCTTTGTGAGGGTGTTTTTTTCTTCTCCATTTCAATGATTAAATCTCACTCTGTAGTGCTGTGTCTCTGGCTCTTTGTTCCTCTCTCTGTCAGTCTGCATTGTAAACCATGGGGAAAGAGAATTTGGTCCATCTGTCCTCTCCAATGTGGCTCGAGCACCCTGCCGGGACAACATGGCAGACGCCCAAACCCGCTGTCCTCTGCCAAAAGGACACACACACACACTTGAAATGTTCTGCAGATGCATCACCATCATGTATATATGCACACAGTATGGAGACACTTCCCACACACCAGCCATATGTCCAACAACTCTGCAGCTGCAGCACAAAATTGCATGAATCCGTTCTGAATTGTGTTTACTGCTCTTCTAATGTTGAAAGAACTGAGCTCTGTATTGAATCTGGATGTCGGCGTGCAGGAGGATGTATACCGCACGGGTCAAGGTAACTTCCCTTTGAAGTGAGGTGTGCAAAGGGCGGAAATCTGCAGCAGCCAAGTGAAGAATAGATTGCACGGACTGAATCCATTTATAAATCAAAATCAAAATATTCCTAAAAACCCAATTTCCTGTAAATACATTTGAGTATTTACTAGCCTTCTCCTGAATTAAATCATACCTACAGTCCTGTTAGGATTTGCATATCTTAACATATTTAATGCTTAAGTATTAGCATTTATACTGGACTGAGCTATCATGGATTATATTTTTTTCCATATAAGAAACTTTGTCTACATTTTGTGACGACCCCTAGGCCTTCGGGTGTTTCTCAATGTCGAGTAAAGCTGCTCCAGAGCCACTATTTCAAGCATACTACGTCATCGAGTGCTGCCGAAGTGCTGTTCCAATGTCCAGGATACTTGGAATTCTACCGAGCCCGGCGTACTTCGTTTGGAGAAATTTCGAGGCTGCACATGTGTAGACTCCGCGATCTAAAAATCCCCACAATGCTTTGCGCACGGACCAATTTCCCCAAATCTGTGGTGGAAAATGTAAGGCGGGGCCTCTCGTATGACGCACACCTGCTCGCCTGTTCCGAACGCCAGGAAGTATTCTTGCTTCACTTCTGAAACAAGATGCTCGGAAGACATGTACAAGCGTACTCGACATTGAGACACCCTCAGTCTCTCTCTCCTCTTGGCTCGGCTGGACCTTGGTTTGTGTGTCTTTGCTTTATATACTGATACACGTTCACACACTAATAATAATAATACATTTTATTTCTATAGCGCTTTTCTTGAACCCAAAGACGCTTTACATTTGGGAGGGAGGGTAGACAAACAAAAACAAAGCCACAAAGAAACAAAACAGAAAAGCAGTCAGGAGGAAGTTGGTTGAGAGGGGGGGGGGGCTTATGGATACAGAGTTGAAGAGGTGGGTTTTGAGGCGGGACTGGAACAGGGTGAGGGACTCAGACTCACGGAGGTCTTGGGGGAGGGAGTTCCAGAGCTTCGGGGCTGCCACAGAGAAGGCTCTGTCCCCAAAGCTCCGGAGTTTGGCCTTGGGGATGGAAAGCAAACCGGCTGAGGTGGATCTAAGGGACCGGGGTGGTTGGTAGAGGATGAGGAGGTCAGTGAGGTAGGGGGGGGGGGGTTAGATGGTGGAGGGCTTTGAAAGTGAGGACCAGGAGTTTGTAGTGGTACAAACTACACACATTAAGATGGACTTTTATTAATCCCTCGTGGGGAAATTGTTTCTCTGCATTTGACCCATCCTAGTGTTAGGAGCAGTGTGCTGCCATTTTGAACGGCACCGGGGAGCAGTGGGGAACGGTGCCTTGCTCAGGGACACCTCGGTAGCACTTGGTCTTGCCGGGACTTGAACTGGTTTTACTGATTAACTGACTTCATAATTAACTTAGTTTCCTTAAATAAATATACTTTAATTGGATATGAAGGATGTTTGGTCTCCTGTTGTTGTCCGTCCTTGAGCCAGGGCGTGACAAAGTATATCTCTTCACACTCGCATATCCACCCTGATCATTATCCATCACACATCCTCTGTTTTATTTATTTGATTTGTTGCATTGTCTTGTTTATGTTTCTTATGCTGGTGTTAGGTATTGTGTATCTTGTTTTTTATGTGTTTGTACGGCGACCTTGAGAGCCTTGAAATGCGCCTATATAAAATAAATGAATTATTATTATTATTAAAGTATATTTTTGTCAGAATTTACTTGGATCATCTTCTCACATTACATTTTCCAATAAATAGTTGTTTTTCTCTTAAAGCAAACTTGACACCTTGTCCTTTTTCACAATGTTTAACACTTTAAATGGTAGCAGATCAGATAAACAAGTATAATATCCAGATTGAAACCAACTAACTAATGATTTGTATCTGTTTTAGAGCATCAGTGTCTGTTTTTACATTTCTTGTGTGCTGTAGATGTCTTACCCATGTCTTGTATGCATTTTGGAGGATGCTATGGATGTATCACGGTTGGAATAATGTGGGATAATGAAGTTAAATCAATCTTGAATCTTACATTTGAAACTTCTTGACACCGAATACATTTTTATCCACTCGCCGTTTTCTTTCTTATGAAGCATTTACTCCTGAGTCTCTGTAATACATTTCTTGAATCTTATTTTTTTAACGTATACATTTCTTCCTCCTCTGCAGCCCGGTCAGCGAGTCCTGTGAATAATGTGGGATAATTGAGTTAAATCAGTCTTGAATGATACATTTTAAACGAATACATTCTGGACACTTTATCCACTCGCCCAAATTGTGGCAGATCAAATAAATAAGTATGTTATCATTTATGCTATTTAATCGTCAGTGTAAGTTATGTCTTATATGTATTTTGGATAATTTTACAGAAGTTGCACCGTTAGAAAATCCAAATATCCTTGAACGTGGGCTTGTAAAAAATGTTAAAGCTTACCTTTTAACTTACTGACATTCTGGATTATATTTATTTCCACACCACATTAATTTCTATTCTTGACACACTGAGGATTTCACTGAGTATAACTTTCTTCCTCTGTGTGTCTCAGCAGCGCAGTCAGTGAGTCCTGTGAGACGATGGAGGATCAGCCGCCCTCAGAGTCAGGTTTCCTGCAGGCCGTGGACAGTGACGGCGTCCCTCTGTGTCTCTCCTGCCAGCAGCACTGCTCCACCACCGGGGGGGCCTGGGACACCCGCTTCTGCAGCCACAAGTACAGTAACACTCAACACATGCAGTTTAGAAACAAGATTAACCTTTGTGTGTTGTCTTCCTGTCAGAGATGGCAAAAGTACACACGTCCTTTACTCAAGTAGAAGTACAGATACTCGTGTTTAAAAATACTCTGGTAAAAGCAGAAGTTCTGACTCTTTACTCAAGTGAAAGTACAGAGGCTTTGAAATGTACTTCAGTAAAAAGTACCCATAACTAGCAGCTGTTTTAAAGAGTACCTGACCTCCCTTTATATTAATAGAACAATAATGTCATTGTTAGCTAATGAATGTTTCCATGCTGAACAACGGCAACATGACAACGTTTCCATTGGTCCCTCTTCTATAGAGAAGACCAGGAAATGATGGATACACGGATCGTGTTCAAATCAATAGGCACGCAATGACTCTAAAGAATAATGATCACGCATCAAACACACATTCAGACTAAAGGAACCAGCTGTTTGGGAAATGAGAGAAGTAGAAAGTACAGGTATTTGAGTTCAACATGTAAGAAGTAGAAAGTACAGGTATTTGAGTTCAACATGTAAGAAGTAGAAAGTACAGGTATTTGTGTTCAACATGTAAGAAGTAGAAAGTACAGGTATTTGAGTTCAACATGTAAGAAGTAGAAAGTACAGGTATTTGTGTTCAACATGTAAGAAGTAGAAAGTACAGGTATTTGAGTTCAACATGTAAGAAGTAGAAAGTACAGGTATTTGAGTTCAACATGTAAGAAGTAGAAAGTACAGGTATTTGAGTTCAACATGTAAGAAGTAGAAAGTACAGGTATTTGGGTTCAACATGTAAGAAGTAGAAAGTACAGGTATTTGGGTTCAACATGTGAGAAGTAGAAAGTACAGGTATTTGAGTTCAACATGTAAGAAGTAGAAAGTACAGGTATTTGGGTTCAACATGTGAGAAGTAGAAAGTACAGGTATTTGAGTTCAACATGTAAGAAGTAGAAAGTACAGGTATTTGACTTCAACATGTAAGAAGTAGAAAGTACAGGTATTTGTGTTCAACATGTAAGAAGTAGAAAGTACAGGTATTTGAGTTCAACATGTAAGAAGTAGAAAGTACAGGTATTTGAGTTCAACATGTAAGAAGTAGAAAGTACAGGTATTTGAGTTCAACATGTAAGAAGTAGAAAGTACAGGTATTTGAGTTCAACATGTAAGAAGTAGAAAGTACAGGTATTTGAGTTCAACATGTAAGAAGTAGAAAGTACAGGTATTTGAGTTCAACATGTAAGAAGTAGAAAGTACAGGTATTTGTGTTCAACATGTAAGAAGTAGAAAGTACAGGTATTTGTGTTCAACATGTAAGAAGTAGAAAGTACAGGTATTTGAGTTCAACATGTAAGAAGTAGAAAGTACAGGTATTTGAGTTCAACATGTAAGAAGTAGAAAGTACAGGTATTTGAGTTCAACATGTAAGAAGTAGAAAGTACAGGTATTTGGGTTCAACATAAGAAGTAGAAAGTACAGGTATTTGGGTTCAACATGTGAGAAGTAGAAAGTACAGGTATTTGAGTTCAACATGTAAGAAGTAGAAAGTACAGGTATTTGGGTTCAACATGTAAGAAGTAGAAAGTACAGGTATTTGAGTTCAACATGTAAGAAGTAGAAAGTACAGGTATTTGGGTTCAACATGTGAGAAGTAGAAAGTACAGGTATTTGAGTTCAACATGTAAGAAGTAGAAAGTACAAGTATTTGTGTTCAACATGTAAGAAGTAGAAAGTACAGGTATTTGAGTTCAACATGTAAGAAGTAGAAAGTACAGGTATTTGAGTTCAACATGTAAGAAGTAGAAAGTACAGGTATTTGTGTTCAACATGTAAGAAGTAGAAAGTACAGGTATTTGAGTTCAACATGTAAGAAGTAGAAAGTACAGGTATTTGAGTTCAACATGTAAGAAGTAGAAAGTACAGGTATTTGAGTTCAACATGTAAGAAGTAGAAAGTACAGGTATTTGAGTTCAACATGTAAGAAGTAGAAAGTACAGGTATTTGAGTTCAACATGTAAGAAGTAGAAAGTACAGGTATTTGTGTTTAAAATGTAAGAAGTAGAAAGTACAGGTATTTGGGTTCAAAGTGTAAGAAGTAAAAGTAAAAAGTCGTAGTGGAGTAAAGTACTGATACCAGAAACATGTACTTGAGTACAGTTACAAAGTATTTGTACTCCACTACTTCCCACCTCTACTCCCTGTGAACTCTGGCAGGTTAAATAACCTCTTATCCCGACACATAAGAAACCAGAGGACATCAGGAGGATTAAGATCCACATAAATTATAGTGTGCATGTATCTGTTCTTAGATGCTTAAGTCTTTACTTGGAGCAGCAGACGGGATTCCTGCACAAAGTGAAATGAATGCCCTCATTAGGGATCAATCAAAAAGCATATTAAATGAACTTTGAAATTGTTTGCCATTGCTTCAACTTCCCAGTGCCGACTGTCCTTTGTGACAAAGCCCACCCATCTGCTAAATTAAATCAAACTCCGGGCTTTTATGCAAAACAAAATGATAAACTATAATGTGGATTTCACCTTGATGATTTACTTACAGTTTTTTGATGAATGCAATATAGCTTTTGACTGAACTACAACTCTGATTTTATAATAGCCCTCTTGCTAATCTTTTCAACGATCAATTCAATGCATTTTAACACTAAAATATGAATGATATTTCTAAAGAAGTCTCTGGATGTGTTGTTGTCCCTGAGCCAGACACTGCTCACTCACACTGTCACCTTGAATAAGACCGCCTACATTTTAAGTGAAAAAACGTCCTTTTCTTTAAGTAGAAATGCAATTTCCGTAAGTGGTTTTCAAGAGCTGAATCCAGGTCATTGAGTCAAGGCGAGATCCTTCCCTCCTCTATACCTGTATTTGATCGAAACACAATGCAGCCTTTCAGCCGACTCATAAGAGACAACAACATCTCTTCCTCACAGAATAAAGGAACTATTTTTGTTCTAAGTATTGTTGGGGAAATACTCTTCCAATATTATGTTTGAAAAATATCTCTCGTCCCCGGCTTGAGCTTCAATCTCAGGATCCATGTGTTTCTGATCCTCTCCAGAATGGAAGTAGTCATCACATACAGAGATTAGATTAGAATCTTTAATGACCACACAGCCAGGCTGGTGGAATTCGTGTTCAGTGCAGAGTATTACAGCTTGTTCCATACAATTCAACAGACAATAAACAGTACAACACACAGCACAGGGCAAAGACATATCATAACATAAAGTTCAAGGTGTGGTGGATTGTTATTGTTCATTGGGGTTATTTAGAGTCCATTTAGTGTCCGTATTGCAAAGGGGAAAAAGCTGTTTTTGAAGCGGGCGGTTTTGGCGGACAGTGACCTGTAGCGCCTCCCTGAGGGCAGAAGTTGGAAGACATGGTGACCTGGGTGGGAGGGGTCAGAAAGGATTTTCTTTGCCCTTGTGACATCAACTAGTTCCTGAACAGTGTCCTTCACATGCTGATATCCAAGAGAGGGAGTTACACAGTCACAAGATGGAGGAATACCGGTTCTTGTAGGAAATCATACATCCTGTCATGAACAAAATACTGAGTTTTTTCTCAAAATCTGAAAATTCTTAATTTTTCTCAAAATTCTTACTTTTTCTCAAAATCTCTAAATTCGTTATTTTTCCTCAAAATTCTGACTTTTTCTGAATACTTAAAATGTGTAATAATCCCTGGTCCCCGTCTTGAGCTTCAATCTCAGGATCCATGTGTTTGTGATCCTCTCCAGAATGGAAGGAGTCATCACATACAGAGCATCAAGTAGTTCCTGAACAGTGTCCTTCACATGCTGATATCCAAGAGAGGGAGTTACACAGTCACAAGATGGAGGAATAGAAAGCAGTATTCAATGTTTACTTCAGATTAGCTCCACGTCAGAAATGAGCATGCTTGTCATATGTCTATCTCCATAGAGGCTGAATCATCATGTTAATCACATAGCTATCACATGCCTCAAACAGTCCTGATGCTCTTCTAGGTAATCACACATCCTGTCATGAACACAGCTACAGTTGGGATGCCTTTGTTATCATGTGGACTCTGACATTGGAAGAGGACATTCAGTATTTTCCCAACAAGTTTTAAGGCAGATTATTTTTGTTTTGCCCACAGGTGCCAGGAGGAGTTCCAGTTGCGCTCCAGCCAGACGTACATGCGCTCTCGTGTGCTGGAGGCGGAAAAGGGCGTCTGTCAGCACTGCGGCCTCCAAGCACACGAGTTGTTCCTCAAAGTACGGGACGCCCCGCCCGACCGGCGCAAGGAAATGCTGGAGAGCACTTGGCTCGCGCAGATGTCACTCAAACAGGTGGAGGAATTGCTATTTTATTACAGATGTTTCAAAGGAATCCATGTTTGTTTTCTGCAGTTCATTGGCAGTGCTTACTAAGCAAGTAAACGCCTCGTTAGAGCTGAGTACAAATGGATTAGCATCAAAATACACTTGAAGAATGGAAGTTTCTGGAACAAGTGTGTTTGGGATTTTAGCCTTTGCAGACCCTTTACATCAGAGGTCACCAAGGGCCAAAATTAATCCAAGAGACACTTATATATAATTAATTAATATGTTCACTTTGTTGAAAAAATAATCTTTTTTTTATAAGCCATGTGGGACTTCTCGCTTGTAACCTCTCGAACAGGGGGGTCAAACTCAATTTCATCGCGGGCCACACTCGCATAAAGGTTGCACTCAAACTGTAACTATATAAATATATAATATATATATATAAAATAATGTATTATATTACATTATTGGCTCTGAATTGGATTATTATCGGATAGGATAATAACGTATTAATTAACTACGTCTGAAAGCAGAAGTCCAGGGCAAATAATGGCAAGTCTCTTCAGTGCGCACATCACAAAATGAGATGCATTGTGGGACATGTAGTTTATGGGCAACCTGCTTCTGTAAAGTGGCATGTAACCGTATAATAAAGTATTATATTCTTTGCAAGCTCTTGCGGGGCCACATCAAATGAAGTTGCGGGCCGGATTTGGCCCCCGGGCCTTGAGTTTGAGACCCCTGATCTAGAATAAGAAAACGTTAAGCAATCGAGACATGAATGATAATCCTCATCACAGCTTATGAAATATAAAACAATTCAAACAGCCATCATACCTTGGCACATCGGTCTGATAGTCCACTGTGCGTCCTCTCTGCATGGAGTTACTACTGAGGCCTGTTGACGGTTAGGAAGCCACAATTTACTGTCCACTTGTAGTTTACAATGTATTGCTGTATTTGTTGAAAAATAAACATATTATTAATAATTAATTCCCCCTCTTGCGTATCCATTTTAAGGCATAGTATAAAGAACCCAAGAACGTAAACATTTGTCATTGTGAGGATCCAGGAATAGCTGTTCTTTTGTATTTACTCAAATCGAGTCTGTCTACACAGTGGAAAGTACAAACAATTGAGTGTAACTGTCTCAGGAACATGAGTACCTCCCCCTTACAACACTCACACACACACACACACACACACACACACACACACACACACACACACACCACACACCACACACACACACACACACACACACACACAGGTTGAACTGCCCTCCAAGGGGCCAGCTCCCAGTAAATGGATTGCTGGGCACATTGATTTTTTTTTTTTCCAGTGCCAGACCTCGACCAGTAAGCCTGTTTGATTTGGTTGGCTGTTATCCTGCAAAGCCAGCCCTCCCCCCTCCTCCTCCTTACACACACACACACACACACACACACACACACACACACACACACACACACACACACACACACACACACACACTCTTCCCAGTGCCGGCGGCAGTAGCAGCATCAGCGCCGATCGATGCAAGCTTTAGAGGAAACAAACTCAGCCAAATGATAAGACGGCGCAGTGGTGGAGGAGCCTCGAGATTATAGGCTCATTCTTTTGGTTCATACCGGGGGTTCGTGTGTGTGTGTGTGTGTGTGTGTGTGTGTGTGTGTGTGTGTGTGTGTGTGTGTGTGTGTGTGTGTGTGTGTGTGTGTGTGGGTGTGTGTGTGTGTGTGTGTGTGTGTGTGTGTGTGTGTGTTGTGTGTGTGTGTGTGTGTGTGTGTGTGTGTGTGTGTGTGTGTGTGTGTGTGTGTGTGGTGTGTGTGTGTGTGTGTGTGTGTGTGTGTGTGTGTGTGTGTGTGTGTGTGTGTGTGTGTGTGTGTGTGTGTGTGTGTGTGTGTGTGTGTGTGTGTGTGTGTACGTACCTTAGGGTGTCTTTCAGTGTGTGCCAGTATGTGTATAACAGAATTCAGCCATGTGTGTGTTGGTATTTTGGTGTGTGTGGATTTGCTGTATTTATTATGGCCTTTAGGTGCCTGTCAGCAGAATCTAGTTGTGTGTAGTAGTGCAGCGAGGTGCATGGTTTTGGCACAAAAGCAGGTTCAATTGAATGGAGAGTGTGTGTTTGAGTGTGTGTTTGAGACGTGAACTCGCCCCTGTGAGACGGCCTGTTCTTTAAATCTGTTGGGATCAATTCCAGCTCGCTGCCTTAATGTCGGCAGAGTAGCACTCAAAGCACCAAAATGGATTTTTCTCCCTCAACTCTTCCCACCAGGCTTCTCTCCTCCTCTGTTTCTAATTCTCTCAATCATCTTCTACCTTTCCTCTTGCCTACTCTCTTCTAGTCTGTGTTCATTATTATACTATTTCTGTCTTTCCCTATTGTCTCCGTTTCTTTTCAGGATACAAAAGACACACCAACAAGCTAAATACTTCAAGTTGCAGGTCGATTTGTTCCCAGGGTTCAGTGATTTAGTCCTGTAAAGATACGATCCAGGTCCTAAGAAGGTCTTGAGCCTAAAGTTATTTTTTTGGTCTACATCTGATCGGGGATCCATAACATAAGGTCAGAGTTCACCGTCATTCATTCGGTGCACTATCAAAACGTATTTTCTTCACAATCATACAGCATTTTTATCTGAGGTCTTATTATTTCCTGTTGTGGATTCCTGCCACTTGTACACCTCGCTGTCATGTTCACTCCTTGAGGCTTATTTGTTTTTATCACCTCATGTTGGAGCGCACTGCAGAGGTTCCCCTGCGGTGCGAGACATTTGTTTAATATTTTCTGTCTGTTTGTGGATGAGAGCAGGTGCTGTAAAATAACAATTTAGGTCACTTTTTTAAAGATTAATTCAACGTTATTGTCGAGTACTGAGACAACAAACTGCACTTTCTAACTAGAGTATATTTTCTGATGTATAAGGAACAACTAGTCAGATATAAACATTATAAGCAGTTAACATTAAAGCATGGAAACACGTCACAGTAGAGGCAAAAAATACAAATATAAAACCTTAAAATTAGATTAATCGGGCCACTTTAATATGTGAATCATATCTCACCTGCATATCAGTAAAACAATGAGAGCAACTAGTTGTTTTCTCCACATTTTGCAACCATAGACATTGATATAAAACCCCAAAAATGTAGTACAGGTAAATGAATAGTGTGCAGGTAAAGACATCACATCAGTTAACAAAAAAAAAGGGACTTTAGTATAGATAAAAACTCTGGGAGGGCCACCGTTGTTGTCTCTTTAGTACAGTATGAGGAAAACCTCGAAGGAGTGTGTGTACCGAGGCGCTCACTGTTAAACTGTGTGTGTGTGTGTGTGTGTGTGTGTGTGTGTGTGTGTGTGTGTGTGTGCAGCTGAACGTGATGATCCGCGCCCCGGTCGAAGGGGATTTCTGGCAGGTGGACCACATCCGGCCGGTGTACAGCGGAGGAGGGCAGTGCTCTCTGGAAAACCTGCAGACTCTTTGCACCGTCTGCCACAAAGCGGTACGTGCACCCTCTGCATCGCTGCACCCATAACACCCGCTTTCAGAGCCACGAGGCTTAAAGGGGCAAAAGCAAGCTGTCTAACATTAAGGTGCCCCAGCAGGATGGACCTCTCCTTTATCCCCGTAAAGAAAGAAAAGCCTCATCACTCATGTTGAGGATTATGTGTGATGGCAGTAATGGTCAAACGCATTGATCAAAAGTCATACCATCCTTCACAAAGCTATATATTGCCAGTAATAACATCACATGTGCCTGTGTGACATATTGATATATAGCCCTCAGGAACATCTTCCTCCTTGAGCTTTTCCAGTCGATATTTCATAATCACAGACAATCCACCTCTTAAAAAACAGAAGTGATTGGTTTCAGAATAAGTCTCATTGTAACCTCAAATGTGCTTTACTTTCACGCCAGCATGCGTTGCTGTCCGAGTGGGCGTCAGGTTGGAAGGAAGCGCTTCACATGTGGAGAGCTGCGCGTACCGATAAGAGGAGTCTCTCCATGTTTATGCCACCACTCAGACACTTTAATCTAGAGATGCTCGATATATTGATCGCACTTTTCTCTTCAGATTTAACCTCTTACATCATGTTTCATGTCCCCCCCTCCACAGAGGACGGCTCAGCAAGCCAAAGAACGGAGCCAGGAGAAAAAGAGCGTTGCAGCCTCCAAGGTTGCATCAGACATCAGCAGGTTCTTCTTCAGGAAATGAGACTGTAAGGGCTTTCTGACAGCGAGGATGAAGATGCATCATGATCTTTCAATGGCAACATTCACATTTAAGTATTAGCAACGCCATTCACTGACAGATTAGAATAAAAAGGCCGGATTCCTTCAAATCCCTTCTTCAATTTCTGATGAAATGCTGCACCTGTGGAGATTTACTGTAAAAACTATGAAGACTGCATTAAATGCTAATTCAGCTCCGCTCTCGCCCCCGAAACGTCACCCGTGCGCTACTGTCTGATTTATTACGGCCCCATTTCACTCGAGGCTGAAATGGAGCAGGTTGTTTAGAGAGCTATTTTAAGATTGTGCAAACTTAGTGAAAAGTAGCAGGTGACAAAAAAAAATGGGGGCTTTGTGATTTAAACTAGAAAAACACAACGTCCTCATTCGCGCCCTCAACATGTGGTGCCTCTTCCTTTTTGGAAGATGGATGAACGCTCCCTGTTGAAATAAAAAGTCTATTTCCATCTTGTTTAATGTCTTCTTCTTGCTCTGTTCCTCCGTTGCTTTTTAAAACGGTTTTAACCACAAGCTAGGAAATCGTTTTATCGCCTCGAGTCAGGAACATTATTGCCCATGTCCACGCATCTCCCTCCTCTTCAGCTGTGCTTGATGATCTGAACAGTGCTAAAGTCAGTCAGGAGGGCTATGTTTAGAGAGATGGAGAGCAGAGTTACTATGGAAACAAGGCTTCAGGTTCAGCGATGTCGGGAATATTGAATCTCTCCTTGTGTGAGAGTTATACAATGAGCCAGACAGACATCAGAAACTCCAATCAATATCAGCAGGCTCCTGTAAAAACGAGGCGGTCACATTCCTCCGCAGCACAACTCCACTTCGCGGATGTCGTCATATCACGATTTGTCCGTCTGTCAGCCGTGTCAAACCCCAAACTCAGCAAATTCGGGAAAGTTTTCAAATGTTCTGGCAGCCCAAACTTCTCTCAGCCTATCGGAGCGCCGCGTGTAAGGCACAGCTTGAAACTTTTGTGTGTGTGTGTGTGTGTGTGTGTTCCCTTCGGCGGCTCTAGGTCTCCACTTAATAAGACCGTTGTTCCTCTCCTGTCCAAACAGACAAGCTTTGTGAGTAATGAACATCTCCCAGGCAGCTTTCCAACAACAGCAGGTTTCAGTGTCAGTCCCTCTCAGCAGCCAATGACTCTGATCTGCTGTTTTATTACACCCAAAAGGTGTGTGTGCATGTGTAGGGAAAGTAGTGTGTGTATAATGGCAGTGTGTGTTTGTCAGATGGAGCCATAATGAGCCAGAGCGCCCAGATGAAGACGTCTCATGTTCTTCCCAGAGGGGCTGCTGGGTAAAGAGCAGCGCTGCAGCCGCGTGACACTGTTTGCATTAGACAACCTATCAGCCCAGAGGTAAAACATTACCTCCGCAGGTGATGACAGTAATAAAGATGGACTCAAACACAGGCGGACGACCGTTGAGGTTTGCGTGTTTGTTCTCCGTCCAACACACCCCTACGCTCCCATCTTTCTTTATAGCATCAGAGCAAAAACTCACTGTTTTTTATGCTGCTGCAACACAAACATTTCCCAAATTCGGATCAATAAAGTATCTATCTGTCTGTCTGTCTGTCTGTCTGTCTGTCTGTCTGTCTGTCTGTCTGTCTGTCTGTCTGTCTGTCTGTCTGTCTGTCTGTCTGTCTGTCTGTCTGTCTGTCTGTCTGTCTGTCTGTCTGTCTGTCTGTCTGTCTGTCTGTCTGTCTGTCTGTCTGTCTGTCTGTCTGTCTGTCTGTCTGTCTGTCTGTCTGTCTGTCTGTCTGTCTGTCTGTCTGTCTGTCTGTCTGTCTGTCTGTCTGTCTGTGTCTCTGTCTGTCTGTCTGTCTGTCTGTCTGTCTCTCTGTCTGTCTGTCTGTCCGTCCGTCTGTCTGTCTGTCTGTCTGTCTGTCTGTCTGTCTGTCTGTCTGTCTGTGTGTCTGTGTGTCTCTCTGTCTGTCTCTCTGTCTGTCTGTCTGTCTGTCTGTCTGTCTGTCTGTCTGTCTGTCTGTCTGTCTGTCTGTCTGTTGTGTCTCTCTGTCTGTCTCTCTGTCTGTCTGTCTGTCTGTCTGTCTGTCTGTCTGTCTGTCTGTCTGTCTGTCTGTCTGTCTGTCTGTCTGTCTGTCTGTCCGTCTATCTATCTATCTGTCTGTCTGTCTCTCTGTCTGTCTCTCTGTCTGTCTGTCCGTCTGTCTGTCCGTCCGTCTGTCTGTCTGTCTGTCTGTCCGTCCGTCTATCTATCTATCTCTCTGTCTGTCTCTCTGTCTGTCTGTCTGTCTGTCTGTCTGTCTGTCTGTCTCTCTGTCTGTCTCTCTGTCCGTCTGTCTGTCTGTCTGTCTGTCTCTCTGTCCGTCCGTCCGTCTGTCTGTCTCTCTGTCCGTCCGTCTGTCTATACTGCTGAGACCTTTCAACAAGTTACATAGCAACACAGTAACCTCTAAACCTCACATGGCTAAAATCGTTGCAGAGCAAATGTCTAGCGGAAATAATGACATGTAGTTAGAAATTCAGAGAGTAGCAGCGGATAAAAGACAATAGGAAACGCCATCTGAAGAAAATCTGAAGCTTAAAACACTCAATTCGTCGTCTTTTGAGTAACATTTGTAAAAACTAGATCTTAAAACTATGCTGTTCAAACATTAAATGTACAATTTTAACAGGTTATTGATGTCTTCTCATATCGTTGGTTTCAGTCCATACACAGACATAAAAAAATAACAAAATGACCATTCGCAGTTTAACGTATTACTGATTAAATGAATGCTAACATGTGAGTTGCCACAGAGTTTCTCAATGTGGGTCAGAGGCCCTCCAGGGGCCCTGTTCGGGGCACCTTGGGTTCTACAGCAAATTGAGAAATAGATTAATATCCCTCAAACTCCAATTCCATAGGAGTTTCTCTAATTACCTTCATTACATTATGTGTAATAATGATTTTTGTAATTGTACTTTTCGTTTCATTATTCCCCTCCCTATAGGATTTGGGGGAAAACTGCGTCTTTTTAGGACTCTCTGACATGAAAGTGTCTGAGAAGCTCTTCCAACTTGACAGTAAAGCATACAAATCATTCATAATTCAATCGTGATTTGCATTCAGACAGCAAGGCGTACTATTTGGCGCCATTCCATTGGTTATTCCATTTCAGCCTCGCCTGCCCCCATAATCTACTTTGGCCTTTTCAGCTGAAGGAAGCGCTTCTACAAACCCAATCTTGTGTGACAGGTGTGATGGAGACGGGCCAATAAAAGCCTGCACAGCGCTCTGCGTGCGGCCGCCAGCTCTCCAATCCGAGACTGAATCCTGCTGTGGTTTGATTCCTGGCTGCCATAGTCTCCACTGTGATCCCTCTGTGTCTCTGACCCTCCCTGCCCTTCAGCAAGGGAAAGGAAACAGACACTCGGGAGGTCGAACCCCGCTGCTCTCCCTTCAGGAGTGAAAAACAGCCCGAGCACCTCTGATATTCTGTCATTTGGTGGAATGTGCACTGCAGAACCTCATTATAGAAAAGAAATGGACCTGCAGTCAGCCCTCTGCGGCGTGGTGTTAAAACATCCAGAGAGCGTGTATTCTAAAAGGCTGCACCCGTCTAATTGAAGTCGCGAGTCGGCGCTTAGGAAGCAATTCTTGGCTTTAAACAGCCACAGCCGACGAGAAGCTTTTGTCTTTATTGTCATATTATCTCTTGGGATGGTGATGAGATGATTAATCATTTCCTGCTGCAGAAACTGCTCGCAGAAAGCTGGCACGGCTCGGCAGAGCGCGACGCCCTGGGTGGAGGAAAACGGTATTATGGCCCAGGTAATTGGTGGAGGACCATCACTCATAAGCGATCTAATTAATGTCATTAAAACACCCTCTCTGGTTGCGCTTTCAAAATGGGCTTATCCATCCTGATGAGTGTCATGCACGCAAATGATATTCTGGGAGAAACTGCGGCAGAAGCGAGTAACAGAAAAGTCGACAGTGCGATGTAAACAGTGGCCGGCTATTTCCTAATGTCATTCAGCCTGGTAGGGGGGTGCAGCGGTGAAAGGATGCTTTGTCATTGCTCAGCTTGAGGTGGCTTTTGTCAAGTCCAAATTCTATTTATTCAAGATGGCTCCCTGGTCGTCTCCCAACATGCATGGCATGCTGCGGATTAGGACCAAAAACGCAATCAATTCACCCAGCAGGAGATCAGGGGAAATAACAGATAAGGTTCTTAGCATAATTCATACAGTCCCCAATCTGGCTAGGATTAATGTATGTCTTTGCTGCAGCTCGCTCTCATTTGTATGTTGCAGCTCGTGTGGGGCTAAATTGGCTCTTCATGTGGCCCATTACAATCAGGCTTTGTTTGGAAAGGCCCCTGTGAGGACTGGATCTGACCACATCGTTTTACACATGTCGCTAATGCAATTTAGATCTGATGTAATTGCATTTATATTTAATTACTATTAAGAGTGGTTTAACAGCAGGTTTTGTCAGCATATTCATGGCTGTGAAAAACAAAAAATGCCATGTATTGAATATAATAAAGGTCTCAAATGCAAAACATGTATGCAGCTTTGGCTAAATATACATTAAAATGTCACAAAGGTGTCCTGGTGGCACTTAGCATCAGAAGAAGAAAGCCACAGTGGGCTACGGTGTTACCGCTCACCCCTTTTATGTGCGCTGTGTTCAGATGATTGAGGTTAAAAATGGAAGGCTGGACAAAATGCCCTCCAACGAGTTTCCTTTTCATGAGCCTTTAAAGACATCTTTTCATCTCCAATGTTATTTTGCCGCCATTGATCAGCCATCTCTCATAGATTGCTTCCAGACATCTATTCAGCCGCGCTGTCGCTACTCAGCATGCTTTTATTTCAAAGGTCTTAATGGCAAGGTCTGGCTTTTGTGCTTAGATTAAAAACCAGAATCAGAGTAGTTTTTATTGCCTATACATTCACAGGAAGTAGTCTTTGTTAACTTGTGTTAAATGTGAAGCAACAGCTTAAAAGGTTTGCATGCTGAGGCAAATTTAGAGGGGAAATAAGATCTCTTTCTTGCCTCATGTTGTGTTTTTTTCCCCGAACATGAGCCGGAAAAAGGTCATGTCAGTCATGTGAGGAGAGTGACAGGTCTGGGGCATCATTACTGAGACTTGGAAGGTCTGAGTTAGCACCTTTGGTCACCTCAGGAGAATAGATCCCATACTGCGCTGCCGCCGGACTAATGAGCACCGACAGCCCTGCGTCTAATGAGAAGACGGCCGTTGCGAATGTCTTCCATCAGCCCTGTCGCTAAAACATCCCATAATGCCTTGAACATGCGGTGTTAGCAACGGTGGATATCTTGTCGCACATCAATGCCGCAGCCATGGAGTCAGCGGAGGACTGCCAAAATGTCATGAGCTGAAAACATTGTGTTGAGCTTCCTTTTTAAAGTTTTGCCGTTAATAAGAAGAGATAAATTGAGGCACTTCATTGCCGCCTGGTCTCTATGTGGTC